CATTTAAACTTTTATAACTCAATGTTCTAATTGATGTCTCAATATACTTATGTAATGGGAGGTTTACATAAGCCTTTTCTTATGTTCTTATTTGGTAAACCTAGCTCCTCACTACCTTCCCAGACCATGCAAAACAAAGCCTTCTAAAGCTGATATAACTCTTTTATTATTTTCAAATCACATGTGTTCTACTATGCCCCAATTTTTAGGCAAATTTCATGTCTTTTTCATTTCATGAACTTGATAGGCTCTTGACAATCTACAAAATATTAGTCTAAACACTGGAATAAAGAGGATTTGCATTCTCTGCAGAACATACAACATTTGTTCATCTGGGGCAAAGAAACATCTCTTAGTATGTTTTTCTGTTTGTTTGTTTGTTTGTTTGTTTCAACCACTTTCCTTTAGTTTTATGATTTTCTTATGCTTCACAGAGAAATCAAATTCAATTGTTTATATATAGACTATAATTTCTTGTATAAACTATAATTTGTTATTGAATATCTAGTATGGCTCCATAATCTGGCTCTTTTAAGTAGAGAAGCAATGATAACAAAGGGTTAACCTTCTTTGTAGGAGGAATAAAATGTTTTTTATCACTCTTTGGAGTGACATATTTGGGTCACTTCTAAGTTTAGCTTTACTACAAAGTTTCACATAGAAGTCTCTACACCAGTTTATAGGCCCAGAAATAGTGAAAAAAAGTTTTCTTCTTCCCAGTAACCATAGAATCACTGATTTCCACGTATTTTCTTGATATTAGTTATTGTGCCTGAATTCAAAGGGGTTTAAAAGTATGTTAAACTTCATTTATTTTTTTTTGTCAAAGAGTGTTGCTCATGAAAAGTATTCATCAGTAATTTTATTTATTTTTGAGAACTCTACATTGAAAAAGTTCTTTTTTTTTCTCCATTGTGTATTCTAAATATTAATCTTCTTCCAGTTTATCAAAAAACTATTGGTAGGCCTTTAATTCCAGGGGCCCTCCACAACCAGGATATAATAGGCAGTGAGGGACAAAGTTATCTAATGATTTTTTTGTTTGTAAACAGAGAACTAAATATGGTGGCATGAATACAAGTAAAATTTATAAAAATGAAATAACATCCAGTAATTGAAATCTACATAATCAGTTCATAAATTTAATGATGACTAGCAAGATGCAAATATCCAGTAGGAAAGCTCTACATTATACCAGAAGAACACAAAGATTTAAAGCTTTCAAATATATGTCAGTTAAGAGGTTCAGTAAACTCATTTATTGGATATTATCAATTCTATGGTATATCTTATAAAGTTATAAGATTATCAGTGAAGAACAAGTTTAAAGGAAAACTATTTTATGAATATTAGAAAATTGTCAGTTTTAATAATATTCTACCAACTCTTTTCAGTTTTGCTTATCAAAACTTTGTAGTGCTACAAGTTGTGGATGATATTCTTATCTTATCCAAACTACATGATTTACTTTGAGTACTAAAATGGTAACTAACAAAAATATAGCAGGAAATTGCAGTATGTTTTTTGAATGAAAACGTGATTCTGCAACCAAGAAGGACCAATAGCTACATGATAAGGAAGTTCTAAAAATGAAGAATGCTTGATCAAAAGGGCCCCATTGTGAAGTCTGAGCATCTCAAAAGACAAAATCAGAGATATTCCAGCAATCTCATTGTTTATGGACTACTGCTTTATTTTTATATATATATATATAGTCTATTTTAGTGAATAAGAGATGAATATGAGTTTGATATAGTTACATACCGTTTGTTATATTGTAGAAATGATCTACAATTACCTAAATATTTATTATGAAGTATCCAAATAAAAATTTAATAAACAATTACAGATGTAAAGCTACATTGAAATATTAGCAAAATATTATATGCATATTTATAAAAATACATGGTTATTAGCAACTACTTAGACAAATATAAATTATAATATGAAATGTAATTTACCTGTGCTAGATTCCTAACTATATAAGAAGGAATGAAAGTGGATGTAGTATGGATGTTTTAATCCTAGAAGATGTAAGGCAAAAACAAACAAGTGGGAAATCAGATCTTGAAATGAGCTCTATATAATAAGACACTATTCTCAAACCAGATGAAATGGCAGCCCACAGACTGGGAAAATAATTCACCAATCCTACATCTGACAAAAGGCTGATCTCCAAAATATATAAAGAACTCAAGATACTAGTAAACAAAATACCAAACAACTCTATTAAAAAAAAAAAAAAAGGTACAGAACTGAAGAGAGATTTCTCAATAGAGGAAACCAAAAAGGCTGAAAGACAATTAAGAAAGTGCTCAACATCTTTAGCTATCAAGAAAATGCAAATCAAAACAACTTTGAGATATTATCTTACCCCTGCCAGAATGGCTAAAATTAGAAACACAAATGACAAATCATGCTGGAGAGGATATGGAGAAAGGGAAACACTCCTCCACTGCTGGTGGGACTTCAAACTTGTACAGCCATTTTGGAGATCAGTATGGAAGTTCCTCAGGTAAATGGGAATCAGGACCCAGCTCCTCTTAGGCATATATGCAAATAATCCACATCCATGCAACAAAGACATGTGTTCAAATATGTTTGTAGCAGCACTATTTGTAATAGCAAGGACCTGGAAGCAACCTAGATGCCCCTCAATTGAAGAATGGATAACGAAGATGTGGCACATCTACTCAATGGAATACTACTCTGTGGGGGGGGGGGCAATGGAATCTTGAAATTCACAGGCAAGTGGTTGGAACTTGAAGAAACCATCCCGAATGAGGTAACCCTGTCACAAATTGAGGAACATGGTATGTATTCACTCATATATGGATTTTAGACCTAGAACAAATATCACCAGCCTATAATTCATACTGCCAGAGGAACTAGGATACAAGGTAGATTCTAAGAGATTAATATAGGGTCCATCACAGAAGGGGAAAGGGACAAGTTCTCCATAACGCATGGGGAGTGAGGGCCAGTGAGTTGAGTGGGAACTAGGAGAAAGAGAAGGAGAGGAAAGAGGAAGATTGAGTCAGGGGAGGAATAGAAAACAGGATATATATATATATATATATATATATATATATATATATATATATAGAGAGAGAGAGAGAGAGAGAGTAAAAGATGGAGTCATTATTGGTTTGAAGAGAAAACTAAACCTAAAGAAAGGTCCAGAGAACTACAAGACTGACTCCAACTAACAATTTGAGCAACCATGGAAAGGCTACCATAAATGCCTTTCCCTGATAATGAGATCAGTGACTAACTTATCCACCATCATGGAGCTCTCTTCTAGTACCTGTTGGAAACAGAAGCAAACACCGACACCTAAACACTGAGCAGAACTAGAATCCATATGCAGAGAGGGCAAGACCATGCTGCAGAAAACATAGAGAGAGCTGACCTGAACAAGGAGGAGCTAATGGGCCCCCAGACTGATAGCTGAGAATCCAGCATGAGACTGACTCAGAACCCTTGAACATGATCTCAGCTAGAAGGACTGAGCATTCTAAGGGACCTCAGACAGTGGAAACAGGATGTATTCCTGGTGCACAAAAGGACCTTGCAGGCACAACCCCCATGGAGGGATACTCCCTTAACATAGAGATAGGAGAGAAGTCCTAGTCCCTACTTGAAATGACTGGACAGATTTAGATGACCCATCCTGGATGGCATCACCCTCATGTGGAGTGTGGGGGCACATTTGAGGGAGGGGTGAGAGGAAAACAGGGAAGGAGGGAGGGACAGAGGGAGGGAGAGGTTACTGGAATCAATATGAGAAATAAAAAGAAAAGAAAACTTTGCAGTATGCAAAAGGTCAGAGTCACAGATAATTACCAAGGTTACAGAGAAAAGTATGTGTAGTTTTTTATTGCAAGTCTGTTAACTATATATCTATGTCTCAGAGTTTATCTCATTGTAGCCTCAGCCCTCTGGCTACAATCTCACTTCCATAACCTGGAAATTTTATGTTGGCATGACAATGGCTCTACTTTTACTACTTAGCTTAGGAATGTGCTCTGACCAATGAGAATCTAATTCTGCATCTATTATCTTTTGCTTCAAGCTTCTGGAAGGAGACAGATATGAAGAGAGTAGAAAAATTTATGGAAATATAAAAAGATAGGAAAATGAAAAAGAAGAAGAATGAATGAAACAGAAAATTAGACTTGAAAAGAACAACAAAGAACATGGTGTGAGAAGATTCTTTTTCTATAGCCCTCAAATTTTACTTCCTTCACTTATTGTAGCATCTCTTTTTGAACCCTGAGCAAAAGCTTTATTTGTAGGCCCTGAAATAAATACTTGCTCAGAATCCACATTTTATGATGAAAAGTAAAGCTTAATAGCTTCCCAACTGCATTTTTCACAACATTGTTCATATTAAGATGGTATTCAAAACAGGAAAATCAAAGGAAATTATGGGAATTAAACATTTATGCTTGTTGAAATAATAAATTTCTAGTGCAAACATAGTTAGTGCATAGTTAAATTTAAACAAAAATCATTGTCAACATCTCCTATTTAGTAGTTCTCAGGAACAAACTTTTCCTTGATGAAATTATACAGTCATTTTAAAATTTACACAAATCCTGGAATTAAAAATTGTATCAAAGCCCAGAAGAGTAGTACATGCCATTAATCCTATCACTCAGTAGACAGAGGCAGGTGGATTTCTGTGAGTGTAATGCCAAGCTGGTCTATAAAAACAAGTCTCAGGGCAAACAAGGATATTACACAGAGAAACCCTGTCTTGAAAGATCAAAAATACCTACTGAAAATCATACTCAGCACATATATATAATAATTTCCATAAAAGTAAATGCATGAAATTTTACTTTATATAATACAGGTATAAATCTATAATAATATTTAAAGTTTACAATTCATGATATTAAATGTGGGAGTGAGCTAACACTAGCATTCATTATGAAAAGAAAAAAGTTTATTTGCTGTTCAGCAAGAAAATTAACTTGCTTAGAAACCACATTTTATGGTGATGAATGGGAGCTTATTAGCTTCCTAACTGCATCTTTCACATCCTTGTTCCTGAGGCTGTATATCAGTGGGTTCAGCATGGGAATGATGACTGTGTAGAAGACTGAGGCCACTTTGACCAGAAGCCAAGAGCTTTTGGTAGTGGGAACACAGTAAAGACAGATGATAATGCTATGGAAAATGGTGATGGTTGTGAGATGGGAGGCACAGGTAGAGAAGACTTTGTAGCGTCCTCCAGAAGCAGGCATTTTCATGACAGTTGTGACAATGAAAACATAAGAGGTAAGAATGATCATCAGACTGCTTAGTTCATTGAAAGTGGCAAAGATGAAAATGACCTTCTGACTAATGTAGGGGTCAGAGCAGGATACAGCAACAATGGCATCATGCTCACACACAAAGTTATTTATGAACTTGGTCCCACAGAACAACAAGGTTAACATAAAGTGTATGAATACAAAAGAACAGGTTATACCCCATGAGTATGATGCAGCAACTAGTGACCAACAGAGCTTCGGAGACATAGCCACTGTGTAGAGCAGAGGGTTGCACACTGCCACAAACCTGTCATAGGCCATCACTGCCAACATGAATGTTTCTGTTACTACAAATATGCATGCAAAGAAGAATTGCATGACACAGCCTGTGAAGGAAATCCTTCTGTCTTCCACAATCAAGTTTTCTAAGAGTTTGGGAGTCACGACAGTGGAGTAACAGAAATCCACAAAGGACAGGTGACTAAGAAAAAAGTACATGGGGGTGTGGAGCTTGGGGCTGAGCCTGATGATGGCAATCATGCCCAGGTTCCCCAGCACAGTGACTGTGTATATTGTCAGGAAGAGGAGGAACAGTGGTACCTGGAGATCTGGATATTCTGAGAAGCCCACAAGGATAAAGGTAACCTCAGATGTCTTGTTTTTTTGAGTGCTATGGAGAAAAATGAAAATTTCTCAAAGTCAGAGCTAATGTTTGTAATAGAGAGCAGTAAAAAAAACAAAACAATACAAAACAAAAAACAAACAACATAATAAACTCTTCCATAAGTACTATAGAATATGACTAAAAATATAACAAGTTTCTCTGTAATTATTTCAACATTTTACTTATACAGCACATACTGAATGAAAATTTATTTCAGTTTAATACATTGCAAAGAAAACTAATGCAGTAATAGAGAATTCCAAACTTATCAAGCTATATTTTAAAATATTGCCACTACTATCATAGACTGTTGTATTCCTGAGACTTGCGATCTAACCACTAGCATAAATTTGAAAGTAGATTAGTGTCCTTTTGGCAATAAATCAACACTATCATCATCTGCAGCTTATTTACTGCTGTGTCACACCATTAATTCAGAGCTTAAAATACAAATATGAAAGTTGTTCTCTTGGAATTCAGCATAAAAGCTTATAAAAGCCGAAGGATCACAAGTGAGTGTCTAAGTCAAGCTACATGACAGTATTTCTCATAAAACATGAAGAACATCGAAAAGTAAATGTCAGTCATCTTTTTTTATAATATTCTGAATTTTTTATTTAGATTATTTTTCTTTATTTACCTTTTCAGTATATTTTAAATATCAAGTAACATAATTTCAAAATATATTATGCAACTGTTCTCTGCTAATGTTTAATACATTTCTATTAATACTGAATACATTTGAATAGTAAAGGTTTATTTTAGATTAATAATATTCATCGTACTGCGATCATAGTAATGCTGGGCTTGTTGAGAATAAATTGTTAAAAGCAATAGTGAATTAAGAGATTAATGGCTTCTCCGGATGCTCACAAAAACGGACTTATGAATGTTGAGCTCTGAACGTTCTATTGAGATAAAACAACATGCGGGGATTAGGAAATATTATGGAATAAGGAACAGAAAGTCTGTGGGAACTTAAAGCTAAGTACTAGGAGTGTAAGTTCAAAATTTGGGCAAGGCAGAGCTCTGAGAAGCATAGCTACTGTTATTTGGGCTGACTCTGCACAAAGTGAAGCTGTCAATTCCCCTGGATCAGAGAAGGGTTCATCAGGCTCAACTCATTGCAGAATTATAGACAAATGTTACATTGAAGGATAAGAATAATCATTGGCTTCAGTTTGGAACCAAAATAACAATCCCATCAGGCTTCAGTGGTACTTGCAAACATATTACCATGTAGAATGTTTTAAAATAAGAAAAGCAGAAAACAAAATAAGTGAAAAGCATATAGTAGGGAGAGGAACTTGTGCAAAGAATGAAAGGCAGATCATAAAGGAAATATTGTGGAAATAAAGAGAGTTCACTGCACATGTATGAGTTTGTCCAAAAACAACTTTAGCCAGCACAAAACAAAAGTTTATGTGACATTTTGAGAGTAATTTACATGATCATGTTAGGCTGGCAGTGTTTACTTTATGGATAACAAATATTTTAGGATTAGGACATGAAATCTATATTGTCATGACTTCTTAAACTCACCAATCTCTACATATCCAGTCTCACTATTGCTGATACATTCTTGTCAAACCTAAAATATTTAACAACCGGTTATAATGTATATATTAATCTAAGAAAATTAATTTTTTTTCTGTGTTCCCAATATTCTCATATATTATTGAATCACTTTCTATGGTAGGATTACCCATTATATTTATTTCTCCTATATATAGCCAAAAAAGGATGTTGGTATTTCTCCATTATTAAAAATTATTCACTTTTCATTTCTTTTTGTTTTCTTAGACCATATCTCATATAGCTCAGTCTGGCTTTAAATAACTATGTAGCCACAAATTTACAACTTAATTAACGAAGGATTCATAAACCTGATCTTCCAGCTTCCACCTTCTAAGTACTGAGAATACCATACCCCTCTGTCATACTATTGTTGAAATCTCCTTTTTAAAGAATATTTATTGTTGTGTCATTACCTATAAAGTTTTATGATAAATTGGATATTATTATTTCTTGCTAGCATGTTTTTCCTTGATTGATAAACAGAAAATATCCACTATAAAAAGAAGAAGGAATCAGTCAAGGGTACTAAGGATGATTTATTAGGGAAGAAAGTTCTACTTAAGGTTTCTGGGATCCACAAATCTGGTTTTCTCTTGTAAATAATATTAAGGTCCTTCATTCAAATGCAATAACAAGACTGAATCAACTCACCTAAATACAAAGGGCCTCGAGTGATGCATTTACTTAAAATTTCTTTGTTAAGAAGACAAAAGTCTTCTTATTTACTTGTTAATAAACAGAAAAAGCCTTGGAAGAATTTCTGTCAGCAGTATATTTTAATTAGTGTTTAAAATGAAGTTTAGTCACTCTCTCAAAGAAAAAAAAATCAAACATACCAGATCAAACATTGCATCTAAAAATTAAATACTGGTTCCAATCTTTGGTACAGATATATGGCATCAAGGCCTTTGGGATCAAGACATTAGGGATTTTTGATGAAAAACTTTCTAGGAGGCTACAATTTGAATTAATATATGTAATAATGCCCCATGGGATTGTATGTTATATCTCTAAAGCCCCTGGGCATTCATACTATCAACTTTACTCTCTAATCATAATGAATATGTAGTGACTTTAATGGATTAAAATACAGAAAATCAAATGTAAAAAGAGCTACTAGCAGCAGTTCAACAAACCATATATATGTATACATATATATATATATATACACATTATGTTTCATACATGCATGTGTAACAATACACATATATTATAAATTATATATAATGAATATATAATGCCCTTAATATATATATATAAGATTTATATATAACTAAAAGTATTATATGTATGTAATATTTATGCATGCATGTAATTATAATACCCTTAGCTATATATACATATATATATATAAAATACACACATATATTTACTATTTATACATATCCCATCTCCCATAACTGTGCTGGACATGCTGGACATGTGCTGTTTTGTTGACTTAAGTTTTCTTTTCCACCCAGTCCAATAGCTGTTTAGTACCCACTAAACACACAGAGGCTTGAATTAATTATAAACCGTTTGGTTTATGACTCAGGTTACTTATTGGCTAGCTCTCTCTTAATTATTAACATATTTCTCTTAGACTGTGTATGTCCACATGGTCTTGGCTTCCCAGTGATACCTGAGCCTCTTTCTTCCTCAGCAGCTACATGGCATCTTCCTAGAGACTCAATCTCTGAGTTCCTCTTTCCAGAATTCTCCTAGTCTCATAGTCTTACCCATACTTCCTGTATGTCTACATCATTCCTGTCCATTGTCCAAAACAGCTTTATTCATCAACCAATAAAAGAAACATATTCACAGTATACAGAGGGACATCTCTTTCTGTCTAAATAGAAAGGAAGATTTCACTCTAACATAGTAAATAAATATATATAACAAAACAGTTATTAAGCATGAACTATGTTTAACAATATTTAGTCCATTTACATTTAGAAAATTAAATGAAAATATTTTATCATCTATCTTTGTGAGCCTAAAGTTTTATATGTAACTTATCTTTTAGCATAACTAAGGAAAAACATAACCATAATTATCTGTCTTCAACTCTATCAAAGACCCAAGAAGAATACTATATAAACTCTAATATAGACAGAGATATCCAAATTCCTGGACAGTCACTCAAAGTTTCTCTAAATGTTGGCACATTCCTTTTCAGGCTATAGGTCTGGGAGACTTTGACAAAGCTGGAAACTTGAAGGACCATCTTGTCTCTTGGCAAGTTTAGCAGTCATTATTCATTTAACTTGCTTGTCCAGTTTGGATAGCATGCTGTCTAGCAGTTCAGGCAAGAGCAGTTTCTTGTCCAAATGGCAATTCCTGCCATGCTAAAGGCAAATTCCATGAGTTTCTTCTATGTTTATATATTACAGTTAAATTAAGGATCAGGATAAACAAATAGGCCGAATAGATGTTTATTCAGGGAGAAATAACTTACAACCTAGTAGATGAACACCAGCAAGTTCCACTGGATGCTTTCCTCTCCTTGGCCTGCCAGCAAGAGAGCATTCCCCGGCTCCTCCTCAGACTCCTCCCACAGGTCACTTCCGTCCCTGGCTCCACCCCCCAATGGGCATGGTCAGTGCCACAGAAGGAGACAAAGTGAATATCCCTTTACACTGATATTTCTTTCTGGCATAATTAGAATTGCCAAGAGCAGTTGTGTCTCATTTTCATGAAAACCCTAGTAAGCCATTTAAAATGCTATATTCTGTACGTCTTTAAAAGGTTTTGAAGAATATCTATTCATTTGAAATATATTTTAGTATATATAGAATACCTAACTAACTTCACTATACATTTTTGACTACCTTATGTGATTATCTATAATCTGTATTTAATTATATATTACATTTTTAATGAGCTGTATAAACATACATAAACAAGACTAGTGTTAAACATATAGCAAATTAGACCTTAAATCTGTATTAATAAACCCAAATCCATACTAATGTAAAATATTCATTTCTATGTGATATTTTCTTTGGAATGTGATCATTAACCATTTATAACCAATCCTATTTAAATAAAAACAAACATTTATAAACAATATTTGGGAATTTGGGTATAGTTCTTTCTAAACTGCTTCCTGCTATTTGGTAGCATCACATGGGGATCCTAAGAAAACCCGCAACCATGGCCAAATCCTGGCTGTAGTAGTCTATGAAGCTATAGTATCTCAGTTGTTTTGAATGATGGATCACTTGGGCCACTGCATCAGGAGGTCTTGTTTGATCAAACCATATTATTCTGGAAAAAATCCACAGCTTTCCATCTGAGTAATTGAAAGCAGAATTTCTTTTCCATAGTGACATGTCCTTGAACTTAAATTTTGAAGTCAAGGCATTTTTAAAATATGTAGGTTGGATTAATCTTGCAGAATATATAATCAAATATCATTTAGCAGGTGTTGTTCCTTCCTCAGCAATCAAACAATTCAAAGACAACATGACAACATACAGTATCCAAATTATCTGTGTATTTTCCATCTTTATGTGGCTTTTTTATTACTCCAATTCTTTTATTTTTAATTTTTGATATTTTTTCGCAACAGGGTTTCTCTGTGTATCTTTGGCTGTTCTTGAATTCACTCTGTAGACCATGTTGGCTTTGAAATCACAGTGATCACCTGATTTTGCCTACCAAGTGCTGGGTTTAAAGGCATTTGCCACCACACCTAGCTACTCTATTTCTTTTTTAAGAACTTTCTCTATCATTTTTTCTTTTCTCTTTCAAGCCTACATATTTTTTTAAAATGTATTTTAAACCATTTGGAGAGTTTTTTTCCCCCCCTCTGAATCTCTATTTACAGTATATCTCTTTTTCTGACCACATGAGTCTTTGTCCTGCTAAACAGCATGGGAAAGATAACAGCAGTGCTGGCCCTATACTATTCCTTAATTTTATGAGAGTAGAACTACATGGCAGAGGTACTGGTGGGAGCCATGCATATTGTCACAATTCTTCATAGTTTCTAGGTCCATGCCACCAAGAAGCATGCAAGTGGCTGCTAATAACCACCACATAAGTGTTCAGTAGCAGGGCCTCTTAAGAGAGCCATGTGGTGTTTTTTTTTTTTGTTTGTTTGTTTGTTTGTTTGTTTTTGTTTTGTTTGGTTTGGTTTTGTTTTGTTTTTGCTGCTAATGCTTAGTTAGGACCTGAACCTCTGATTGCCTCTAGCAAACAGAGCCCACCTGAGAAAATACAAGAAGCTGTACTTGATTCTTTTTTTTTTTTTTCTTACTTTACATGTTGATCCCAATTCTCTGTCCCTTCCTCCCACCCTTCCTCCCTCCTTCCCATGCTACCCCAAACCACCTCCCATCCCACCCACCCCCTACAGGGATGACTTCCAGGAGGGATCATCATTTGTCTAGTCCCTCCCTCCTGTCTCTAGGTGAAGGGATTATCCCTCCACAAAGTCCTTTTGTGCACCAATGATACAACCTGGTTCTACTGTCAGAGGTCCCTTAGACTGCCCAGGCCTTGTAACTGAGACCCATGTTCAGGGGGTCTGAGTTGGTCCAATGCTGTTTTCCCAGCTATCAGTCTGGGGGTCCATGAGCTTCCCCTTGTTCAGGTCAGCTTTCTCTATGGGTTTGTAGCCTGGTCTTGACCCCTTTTTTATCACTCCTCCCTCTCGGCAACTGGATTCCAGGAATTCAGCTCAGTGTTTAGCTGTCTGCTTCTGTTTAGTGTCTGCTTCTGTTTCCATCAGCTACTAGATGAAGGATCTATGATGACATATAATTAGTTATCAATCACATTATCAGGGAAGGGCATATGAAGTATAAGGTAGCCTTTCCACTGTTGCTCAGATTGTTGTGGTCATCCATGTAGGTCTCCGGACATTTCTCAGTTTTCTCTTCAAACTTATAGTAGCTACCTCTATTATGAGACCATTTATTTATTTATTTATTTATTTATTTATTTATTTATTTATTTTTTGTTCTCATCTATTCATCCCTCAACCCCCGACTCAATCACGTGGGACGAGGAAGATTGATTCTGTGTGTGTGTGTGTGTGTGTGTGTGTGTGTGTGTGTGTGTGTGTGTGTTCAGTATCCCCGAGACTCTTAATCTCAGGGTCATGGAGTTATGCCCCCCTTTGCACAAAACATATAGAGTGAAGGTTTGTATCCTGCCTAGTCACACAGCTATTTAGTTCCAAACAAACACACAGAGGCTTATATTAACTATACAATGTTTATTTAGCTTGTGGCTCAGAATTCTTATTGGCTAACTCTCTCTTAATTATTAACATATTTCTTTTAGTCTGCATATCTCCACATGGTCTTGGCTTCCCAGTAATGCCTGAGCCTTTTTCTTCCTCAGCAGCTACATGGCATCTTCCTAGAGACTCACTCTCTGCATTCCTCTTTTTCCAGAATTCTCCTAGTCTCATAGTCTTACCTATATTTCCTGTTTGGCTACATCCTCCCTGTCCATTGTCCAAAACAGCTTTACTCATCAACCAATAAGAGAAACATATATTCATAGTATACAGAAACACATCAATCACTCTGATTTCTCCTGTGATTATTTTACTGAATTCTCTCACTTATATGCAGTTAATATCAGGACCCATCAAATCAAATTTTAATAACATTACTCACATTCTTTTCAATTTTTTTGTTTATTTTATATGTACTAGTATTTCATCTATATGTTTGCCTGTACACAATATGTATGGCTGGTAACCAAGGAGGTCAGATGAGAGCTAGATAATCCTGGGCATAGGTTTTACAAGTGACTATAAGCTGTCATGTGGGGCCTAGAAATTTAACTTGGATCCTCAACAAGGGTAGCCCATGTTCTGAACCACTGAACCATCTCTCCAACCTTCCTCCTACTCTTTTTTTTTGTATGTATATGAGTGTTGGAGGGTGAGTTGTGATGCCCTCATAGTCCATGGCATCTTATGCTAGAATTCTAGATAGCGTCAGGCAATACTGAATTTTTGTAAGTGTAGGATGTGAAATTAACCACTGAGCACACTTCTCTCCACATACTCTTATTTTTACATTGCATCATAAACTATCTGCTGATGGATCTGTTTGATATATAGATAGGTATAGACATTATTGACTGTGATTGGGTATAGAAACCTGTCATGTAACTTATACTACAATGATCCCAATAATTCTATACACTGTATCATAAATGTTTACGTACATGAAGTTTAAATGACCAAAAAAATTTAAATTCCTAACAAATTACATATCCCATTTGATAAAATGTTTGAATTTGATGTTTAATAGTATTTCTGCATTATTAATGTCTGGATTATTCCTCTCTCAGATAAAGAAGATAAAGATATTTAAAACTGCTATCATGACTATCTAGTATATAGATAAATGTGTAGATCAAAGCCACTATGACATAACACTTCACTACAGTAAATATGGATATAATACACAAAAATAAACCAAAGCTAAAGAAAATATATAGATTTATATAACTAAAAAAAATCTGTTTTAGCTTTTATTTTATCAACATTTCTAAGGGAACCAAATAGACTAGTTGTAAATACATCTGCATCTATTGTAATCCAAATAAATATTTCAATAAATAATTACAGATGTATAAAAACTTTGCAGTAAATGACATTGCTCTTTTATGAATATTTTCAATGTTATTTTGATATGTCTAAATATAAAATATAAGCAGCAGTGATTATTCCATGGATAAGAACATACTGAGTCCTTAGGTTTGATTCCCAG